CCCCCGTGAAAACATTCAAAATGACCAGATTGGCTTGAACCTACAGGGAGACGAATGCAAGGGCGTAGGAACCGGGCTGCCTCCTCCGCAGGCCCTTACTGTTTGTAGATCAGTGTATATATAGACATATCAGTTTAATATATAGATCAGTGGCTGAACAAATCTGTTGTGATCCATCGTCCCGCGCGCCCCATTAATTTTCGTCTTTTACTAATTAATTATTTGATAGCAAGCGACTGGGGACGAGGCAGGGCGGCAGGGCGGCCAGGCCCCCAAGTTTTGCCAAGTGCCCTTTTTCCGGGAGCAAAGTGCCCTTTTTTGCGTTAAAAATGTTTCAAGGATTGCCTTTTCTTGCCCAAAGTGCACTTTTTGAAACTTGAATTTATGTTATTTTCTGGAATATTTTTTCATTTCCGGAAAAAAATATGATGTCCGAAAAAATTTTTTGTATTTCCGGAAAATATTTTTCATATTTAGGAAAATTGGATATATCCGAAAAAAATTTTTTTGGTATGTCCGGAAAATATTTTTGAGACCTCCCCCCGCTCGCCAACATTTCCGGGAAAAAATTTTTAGATGCCCTTTTTTATTCGGAAAGTGCCCCTCAAAGCCTGCCCCCCCCCAACTTTTAGAAGCTTTCTACCCCCTGGACGAATGTTTTGATTGTTGCGAGGTGCCTACATGATGTGGCGGCGTTTATACTAGAATATTGTTAAAAGTTAACTACGGTAATTGGGGGCTTGAGTGGTCTCATAAGTGGGTGCAGAGGAGAGACACCTCATTCAGGCATTTTCTGAACTGCCACCACGTCATGTAGGCTCCTCGCAACAATCGAAACATTCGTTTCCCTGAAGATCCAAGCCAATCTGGTCATTTTGAATGTTTTCACAAGGGTGATGAGCAGAGGCTAGAAACATGGCCGTTAGGATAGGCTGATATCAAAAGCGGTGACAAGGAGTCAGACTGCAATAAGTACACAATAAAATTATACTAGAATACTTTATAAGGCCCGTTTACACTTGCAATTTCTGCTGCGATTTTAGGTGCGATTTTCTTCTTCTGATGGATGTGAACGAGTGGATGAGTTATAAATGTTGACATGAGGGTACATCAGTGGGACATATACTCAGAACATTCATAACTTATTCACTCGTTCATATCCATCAGAAGACGAAAATCGCACTAGAAATCGCAGTAAAAATTGCAAGTGTAAACGGGCCTATAGTAGTGTAATTTTCAGTTTGCATCATCAACCTGCAAAATTCCTGTCAACCTGCAAAATCCAACCTATAAAATCCCCAACCTGCAAAATTCCAACCTGCAAAATTCCCAACCTGCAAAATTCCAACCTGCAAAATTCCCAACCTGCAAAATTGCAACCTGCAACCTGCAACCTGCGTTTTGTACCTGCCGATTCTATATCTATTATTTCTATGAAACAAACCAACCTCCGTCGCAGGGACTTTCCCAAAAAGACCCTGGGTACGAGGATGGAAACAAACCTACCCGAACAATTGTCGACAATTGTAGCGGCTAGCAGCTGACGTCAATTCATTCGAATCGGGTGGGCGCCATGTTTAAATATTTTTTACTTTATGTAAGATCATATGAAACTATGAAAGATGCCTCTATCTTGATGTAAAAGCTACCTAAATGTACGTATATGTTTTAAATTCGTTGACCATAGCTCATGTAAGTATTTGTAAATTGTTTTATTGTTGTTTTTTTTTAATCTAGAATTAAACTCACTGGTAAAAACCGTATAAAAATTATGGAATAAAATGGGCCATTCTATTTAACAATTAATATAGGCCAATATAGCCCCCCTCCTCCCCATTGAGGGGTCCCTTTTTAGTTTTTAATCCCCTTTGGATATAAAAAATGTGGAACCATCTTGGATGCAATTTCTGCAAAGTAACCCCACAGGTCGGTGTCTTTATATCCCCATACCAAGTGAACAATATCACAACATTGTATTACAGTGAATGTATCCAAAGCTGGGTTTCGAACCTGTGACCTTCGAAATGCTCAAAGTTCTTTTTCACGATTTGGTTGCATTCACGTTTAGTGTGCATTCCATGCACTCCAGAGTGCATTTTATGCACGTTTTGTGGAAGATCTTTGGCGTGAGTTTTGAATTGTTGGCGCACAATCACGTCCAGGTTGGCGCACAAGTTTTGAGTTTTGCTGGCAGCATCAAATGTTTAAGCGAGACTTTGAGTATTAATAATCGCCTGGTCATGGCCACATGTAAATTGACAGTATAACTACACGAATATGATGTTGACATGCAGTACATATTAAAAACACACTATATTAGCTATTTCAAAACATGGATTTAAGTCCCCAAAATTGAAAATCTCTGATGTATTGGCGCATATTGGCGTAAAGGATCGTACATGTTGGCGTATCTCCGCCGTAGAGTTTACATGGAATGCACCTTGGATTCATGTGAGAATGTTTTCCCTTGTCTTATTACTGAGTGAACAATATCACAACATTTGCCAGCACCGTAAAACATTTTATACATAAATCACTGGACAATGCTTTTTGGCAACATTTTGGGGCAAATCCCTTTCTCAAGGTGAGTTAAGCCTAAGTTACAAATTTAACATCTTTAATAATCATAATTACTAATTAATGCTACATACTAATTATTTTTTTATATACTTCCTCCTTTCAAATTATTACAAAAAACTCATATTACAGTCAATTTCAGCTGACTTTTCACTCAAATGTTCCGAACTTCGTTCCGAACTTCGCAAATTCGTTGCCAAGTTCAAAAGTTCATAATGAAATTCACAAGCGGGTTTGTAAACTGGGCATTTGATTGGCTGGTTTGATTTAATAGCCAATCAGAGGCTTTGTTTACAAACCTGTTTGTGAATTCATTATGAACTTTT